TGCTCCTCTAAGACCTATCACCCTTGACCTGCTGAAAACCCTCAAATTGAAACAACAAGGCTTTATAAACATCATACTAGGTGTGTTGTTTTCTATTTGAAAAACCCCAATTAAAAAACAACAACCAAAACAGCCAGGTCATGAGGACTCCTGATTTCTCTCTTCCCCTTCTGCCTACAGTTTCTTAACTGGTTCCCTTTCCTTGCAGTAACTACACGGTTCCTCACACTCTCTAGCAAAATGTCCCGTTTTGTCACAATTGTAACACTTCCACTCACTCCTGTCTCCACTATTACTATTTCCTTCTTGTCTGTCTTTGCTACCGTAACCTCTCTTCTCTCCTAGGTATTGACTAATAGTCTCACTGTCTCTAATTCAACACAAAACCCCATCATCCAATCAATTTTCATACCCATTACTGTCAATGCCAAATAAGGTTTCTCTGTTCCTGTTGAAGTGCTAAGTCAATAGTAGCCAATTCAAACACCTCACAATTTGGATCAAAGGGTTCCTTAGTCTTCCCCCCACTAGAGTCTACTATTTCTCCCTCAAGGACTAGTCACGCCTTATCTTCCTCTTTCTCACGCTCAAAGCTGGGGGATGGACTTCTCTCTCTCTCTCCTCTCTCCTGTCTGACTTTCTCTCATGATGGATTGCATGTCTCTCTGAGGCTATTACACAATTCAGTTATTTTCCCAACATACTCTCCGTAATCGGCCCATGGCAAAAGTGTCCTCTGGGCATCCCCTGAAACCCACTGCCCTCTAACGGCAGCCCAAACCTTACTATTCCTGTCTTGGGGTGGGTCATTCTTTCTACCGCTCTGGCCACGTCCTCTGTGTTCATGGCCTGTCTGCTAAATGGCATATTATTATTATTACTGTATACATCTAAGGTTGCTGGGGCCCCTTTCATTCCCCGCCAATAGATTAGGTAAGGCTATCAGTGGGTACTGGCCCCCTCCTACTCTCTCTCTCTCTCACTGCTTATTTCTCCTTTACACACCTTATGTATCTGTTTTAAGCATGGATTCGAGTTTATCTGCGTCCAGACGTCCCTCAAAACCATACCTCTCCCTCCACCTGGTTATATAATGGAGATTTCTTCTATCCCTGGATTCCATTTTAATTACATCAAGCATTTCTCGTCCCCAGTAAATTCTGGGACCTCTTGTGAGGATTTGCCCCCCCCATGGTTGGTACTGTTAAAATCCCTTAGCCACCTCTTCTATATTACAAGTCAATTTAACAAGTAATTCAAAATAGCTTCACACAACAACACCTCATAAGGAGTGCCCAGCAGGAGTCCAATTCCTATCAGAAAACATACATACAAACATTCAGACACCCCCAATCTCTCCCAGGGGGAAAAAGTTCTCCTTCTCCCTGAGTGAGATTGTTGTTCCCATAAGGGTTTCTTCATTGTGTTGTCAGGATTGGTTCTCGCTGCTCAAATCAGCTCTTACTTCAGACAATGGTCTGGAAGGAGTGGGGGCTGGAGTGCAATGTGTTAGATGGTGCCAGGGTGCTCCTGATTTACCTCTGACCTGGACTGAGTGTGAAGTAACCTCCTTCACTTCGTACGGTCCAGTCTACCTGGGTTCCAGCCACTTTCTTTTGTGGACTTTCACCCTCACCCAGTCTCCCCCTTTTACCTTCAGTGGTGGCGTGTTTCCCGTCAGCTCTCCCTCTTGGGCCTTCCCCACCTGAGAAGAGAGTGCTGCAGAAAATTCCGTCAATTTCTTCACATAATCAGTCATTTCTATCTGTTGTACATCAAGGGCGGGCATATGACCTCCCTCCCTTGGTGTACCTGGCATTACTCTCCCTGTCATTCGTTGTTCTAAGTATTCATTGAATTTGGGTTTGGTTGGGTTTGGCCCTGCCATCTTGCTTTCTCTATCTTTATACACTTATCCCGTCCCTGGTGTTTTATTTCCAAGGATGTATTATCGGTATCAATACAGACTTATCTCATGTATGACACCCTCGTATATAAAGAGTTAATTTATATAATTTGTAATGCAATCATTATCATAAAAATCAGAATTCCAGTCACATATACCAATGCAGTTATTCCTCCACAGCACACAACACGCTTTAATTGTCTCAGCTCTTGTTAAAGAATATGCACAGATCCAATATCAGTCTCCCCAATCCCTGGTTCCTGAAAGCCTAAGTCAAATTCACTCAATTCCACAGTTTGGTATTCAGTCTCATAAGTCTCACTATAACTTCCCATCATCCATTATACGTTTAAGATATAACACAGACACGTTAAAATATAAACACAGCAAAACAAAACTGCCAATTAGAATACAATACCTTAAAAAATTTAGGTTACCAGAGCGTCCTAAAACATAGTCTCAGTTCGACTGCTACCCTTCACACAACCTTATACTTATGTGAAGTCACAGAAGCAACTGGATCCCTATCAAAGGATTTTTTTTAGACAACTCGATCACTAGGAAGGACTTAGTCTCAGCTTAATTGTACCTTTCACACAACCATTTATATGGAACGTTTTAAGTGTGAAATCACAGAGATAACTGGCATCCCCGGGAATTTAGTACCTCTGGTCAATTTCGGTGATTCTCCCCCACCTAATGTCTAGAACTCTGCCACAGTTTAACTTCAACCTCCTCGCAACCTATAGGGTAGGACCTCCCCTAATAGGATTTAAGCAAAAGGTCTCAGTTCAAACTGGGTCCCTTTAGGAATCTAGTTTTATGGGTCAAATCTTATATACCAATGCGTCAATCCGTAGTTTGACACATTCTGGATACGTTTATCTTTATTCCTTATTCCTTTATTCCTTATTCCTTTATTCCTTATTCCTTTATTCCTTAGTATAAAACACAGTACCAGATATCTCACTTATGCCTTAATTCATTAGGATAGAAATTATTTAACAAGTATTCATACTCACACTCAGTACTTCTGATCAAAATTTGGTATTGGTCTATAATACAATATGCAAGATTTCGTTTTAACAGGCTCTGCATACCTTTTTAGAAGAGCGCTCTGATCAGGTTCCTGAGGCAAGACGAATAGTTGATGTCTCCTGGATTTCAGGTCACTCTTCCGTCTGTTTTTAGATCGATGATTTGCCTTTTCCTCTCGCACCAACTCTTTAGATCGAATTAGAAACCATCCTCTGCTACCAATTTGTTGGTGAAACCATAATTAGGAGAGGAAGTACAAAACCATCGACGCTAGACAGAGAAGAATTTGCTTAAGCAAAAGGCAGTTTATTAAACACAGAGATATATGTTACTGTTAGCTATAATGCATGGGATCCTGCTAATTAACATGCATGGACCTAATCATATAGCACTCTATTAGTGTCAGCTGAGAAGGATGGATAAACAGAGTTTACAGCATTACTTATACAATGTAACATAAAGGAAGGGGTCCTTCTTCTAGTCCCTTGATTGGTTCCCGAGGCGTAGGAGGCGGGTCTGCTCTGTCCAGAGCAGATGCCCCATTGGTGCACGGCAGAGTCCTCTGCCCTTGGCACCCGACCAGTAGACAGGGGAGTGGAGAATGAGTGTGCGTGCAAATGAAATGTTTTGTGTGTGTCCAGGGAACTCGTTGAGGAGTATCTGTTGGTTTATGGCCGGAGGTGGGGGTGTTGTCCTATTATCGCATTCCTAGGCCATCTGGTGAGAAGATAAGGTGTTCTCCTCTGTGCTTTGTTCTCTGACCTGGAACAGCATTTATTGAAAACAGGCTCCAAATGGGTCTTACAGAACATTTTAGTCAGACCAATCTATAACAAATTATATTTACTACGACAGACGTTTGGGGCAACTTCCAAAATGTAACGTTTGCAGAACGTGGATGACCGTCTAATTCTGCAGCGAGACAGAGCTTGTTGAGGAATAAGCACTTTCCTTTAGTAGTGCTATAGAAAGCGTTGAATGAGTTGAGCTCTTGGCAGCCTGGCTCGGTTTTCGGTTGCTGCTTGCTGGGCTGTTTCTCTGTCGGCGACGAGCCTGCTGGGTTGTAGCGTTGGGTATAGCCTCTCGCAGCTGCGTCGGGCCTGTCCCCGGTGTCTGTACACTAAACATACAATCAGAGCATGTACTGTCCAAAAATTGGAGTCACTCACACACTGGAAATTAGTGATGTTACGTTTACTACTGGAGCTCCGAGACATGCGTCTCGTAATCGCTAAGCAGCTAACTTCGATGCAGTGTGCGGATACGTGTATCACTTTATCAGAAGTATGTCATCAATGACGTCTGAAGCTTCGTTTGATCACATGCTTTTCACACAGTGTTGCAAAATGCGAGATCCCACTGATTTCACCATGGTTCTGGTGCTTTCTCCGATTCTAAGCTGCTTTCAAACACCAACCTCTATTGGACACCATACTTACACATATAGTTAGGATTTTCTACATGTAGTTTCACCTGACTGGTAGCTTAGCAGGTAGAGCAGGGAACTATGGAACATTCAGGTACATAAGGGTATGAGGTCCAATCCTGTCAAAGGCTAAATATTTTAGATTAATTTTTTCATGTGAAACCACACTTTCTGCATAATTTGTTTTATTTAGTATAGTATAAGCTTCTGTCTTAAGCATCCTAAATAATGCCATAGATTATTTTACTTTTTTTAAATAGTCAACTTGAAGGCAAAAAAGGGAAGCGTGACGTAAAGCTCCGAAGCCTTCAGAAAGCCTCAGTTTCCCATCAGTACTTTGATCCTGTTGATAATTTGTTGGAGGGTATTTTGTACTTTGAAACAGAATACATTTTGATGTATCTTTGCCCAGCTTTCTTGAGTGAATGATCAACCAACACTAATTGTATTTGTTGTGAGAATAAACCACTAACAATGTTTATTACTTAACATGTTTTTCAGAGTTTGTCAAAGTATTCTTTAGAAGACTGCTGCAGCCCATCCATTTTTAGGTGTTGGGATTCCCCACCAGGTGGGGTTATAGAGGTGGAGAGGCCTGATGATGAGGGGTCACCAGGTGGGGTTATAGTCATGGAGAGACCTGATGATGAGGAGCCACCAGGTGGGGTTATAGTCATGGAGAGGCCTGATGATGAGAGGTCACCAGGTGGGGTTATAGTGATGGAGAGGCCTGATGATGAGGAGTCACCAGGTGGGGTTATAGTCATGGAGAGGCCTGATGATGAGGAGTCACCTGGTGGGGTTATAGTCATGGAGAGGCATGATGATGAGGAGTCACCAGGTGGGGTTATAGTCATGGAGAGGCCTGATGATGAGGAGTCACCAGGTGGGGTTATAGTGATGGAGAGGCCTGATGATGAGGAGTCACCTGGTGGGGTTATAGTCATGGAGAGGCCTGATGATGAGGAGTCACCAGGTGCAACAGGTGGTAAAGGGGACAGAAGAGACACCACACCTGTTCACAGCACTGGCACTCCTGATAGCACACCAGAGATGTTAGCAATGCTACAGGGCTTTATGTTGAATCAACAGCAGCAGCAACAGATCCAGAAGATACAGCAGCAGATCAGCCAGCTACAGGAGGAGGTGCAGAAAGGAAAGACAAAGCAGCAGTGTGTTTAGCAGAAGTTGCACCACAGGTTCAAAAGTGTAGTCGCAAATGTGTACATGTCTTTTCTGGGGCCTGGGGTTTTTCCTGACCTCATGACCTGGTCAGCTAAAACCATGGGTCCCATTCATAGGCTATGAGTATCAGTTCGCCAAAAATGTACTGTCCCGAACCAAATTTCTACTGGCCCAGACATGGTGTAGTTTCTAAATGCATTAGGGTCATGCAGGGTCATAGGTTGGTATGCTTTCTCTCTATATTAATAGGCTATATTTGGTTATTGTGATATGTATTAAAAAGCTGTTTAATATAATTTAGCAATGTAAGTCGTCTATTCTTTAGAATTGCATTGCATTTATTTTTGTAATTTAGAGATTTTTTTATACATCTCAAAATAGGACGCTGCCCCTTTAAGCGAACTGCATTCCAAAAAAGTATTCCAGAAGGCTAGGCAAGATGAAAGCTGGAATGTATTTTTGTAGATTTATTTTAGCAGACCATCAACAGTAGCCAGCATATTGGTAGTATGTTCCCTATTGAAGATCACTAAACCTCCAATAAATAAACTCAGAGAGTAGATTGATTATTTTTGCTCAGGACAGCTTGCGTGTGCTGTGTGAATGTATCAACTGCTGTACTGCTCGAGAAGTTGTGGCTTGCGGGACATAGTGGCATTTGAATGAATGGCCATTCATATACACGGGTTGGTTGTTTAGCAACAAAACCGACTCGTGCACAACCATGGGGCAAAACAGACGGGGTTGGTTTAGATTGTTGACAACAAGTAAGCTACATACCTGCCAACTTTTCAAAAAACCTTGGAGTGAGATTTTGTCCTGGGTCTGCCTGGGTCCTGCAGTCGGTGAAAAGCAATTGCACTGCCTGCGTCTCAGAACTGCGGCCGCCTTGATCTCATGAGGTTATCGTTGCCCACGTGTGCATGACGTCAGAGAAAGTCGGGATCAAGTCGGACACAAATCTAACCAGCATGCATTGGGCGGTGATCGCCGGTGATCGATTCTGCGCAGACCTGGCTCATCTCAAATGAGCCTCTTGTCTAGGATCTGTCGGCATGGTTATACTGGCCTGTGGCCTTCTTGGAGGCCTTGATGATATCGGAGGGGGGCTCCCATTTGAAGCAGGGCTCCAGATTGGCCATCTTTATGGTCATTATTGAGGACAGGGTGCCATCCAATGCTAGGCTGTTTCTTCTCTTGGTTTTGTTCAGTCCCACAACTGAAAACACCCTCTCAGCATCTGCGTTTGCATGGGGCAACACCAGGACAAGCTTGGCGACGGCAGCAAGCCTCTCAAATTCTTTGGCTCCTGTCACCTATGGAAAATGCACCAAAACACAATGGAAAAACATACCTTGATTTTTGATTGATTAATACTGTAAGTATACTGTAGGTTGATCCATTAACAAAGTTCAGATAAAAACATGCATAATTTGCTACATGCATGACACATATATGCATGCAACTATTTTAAGCAACAGATGTAGCCAAGCCACACCTGCCAAAAGGAAAGACAAAAAAGGAAAAAAAAAATTACCTTGTGCTTCCGGGTTGCCATTTCAGCCCAGAAGCTTTCCATTTCAGTTTAGTCCTGCAGGGATATCATTGGCATGGTCTGATAATTTAGAAACTCCTCACCCAGAAGGTCATGCTCCTATGGCCCATGGTATGGGAGGAGATGGGGAAACCTATTTATGAAAGTAGAGTTACAAGTTGTTACGTTTGAGGTATATAGTCATCAACCAGCAGCAGTTCATACACATCTTTGAGGAGAAGCCACATAAGAATATCTCATGTGCAGTTTAGGAGTGAACACACCTCATCATAAAACACAGGGTATTTTAGCTAAGATGATAGACAATAATGAGAGAAAAAAAACTAACCTTTCAACAAAGTACAGGACATCTTCGATGTCACTTTCAGCCCTCTGCCGTACATCTACAAATTGTGCGTGCTTGATCAGTGGCTCTTCCAGTGGCAGCTTCTTAAGTGCATAGTCCACAGCACTTGTCAGGAAACACAACACAGCTTCATGGAATGAATCCACCTGCTGTGGTGTGATGTCACCCTCATCAAGTAATCTGTTAAATTTAGCCCTGGTTGTGAACCTAATGTTCAACTTTCTTCCTGTCACAGATACAGCATATCGGTATAAGGTACAAGGCTAAATATCACATATCACAGTGTTTGATCATAATAATAGTCAAATACTAACCTGGTAAATGGTTTGCCTTTTCTTTAAAGGCAATTTTACAAGGCTCCTCATGGCACTGCAGAGCTGCTGGAACCATAAACTTGGAACATAGCTTGCGTTCGAATTTCACCATCTATAACAGACATTTACAAAAATAGTAGGTGAAACCTGTTTTAGAGGATCCCTGCAGATATCAGCAAGAAACACAGAATGGAAAAAAAACAGCAAAATCCAATCCCACCTCATCATGTAACAAAAATATTGATGACTGCTCTCTCTGAAGCAGCAAGTTGAAAGAAGTGAAAGTTGGTACGGTGGCTAAGAAGAACAGCAGGTATACTTCTATTGCACACATTTCCTGTATTTATGTTAAATTCTTTGGAATACATCTTACCTGTTCGAAATCAGCTGAGTTTACATTCACCACACTAAATCATGTTCACAAGCACAAACAAATAATTTCTTTCAAGATTTAAAGTTTAAGAGAGTGAGTACTCAATTGGACGACATTTCATTGTTACATACCTAGTCTCAGCTCAGCTTCTTATCAGACTTCTTGAGGTAGTGACCGATAGCACGACTTTTCTGCGTGTAGTCTTCAATGGTTTTCAATGGTAGACTGCAGAACTGAGGCTTCGCAAAGGTCAATGTGGATCTTGAATCTAATGGCGGTGGAATCAAGGAGAATTGGACTATTGTCCAAAAGAATGGACAACGGAGCAAAGTAGCGTACAGTGCTGAGAATGTCCCTTCGTGTCTTGTAGGAGTACAGTTTGTTAATGAGGAGCAGCTGATTGGATTACCAATCTTGGAGAAACCATTTGAGATATCCAAACTGGTGGAGAGAGTACTGGGTACAGTGAAGGCTGTGAGGATCACTAGAGGCGGGCTTGTTTAGACTTTTTTGTACTTCTGAGGATCAGAAGGAATGTGTGTTGCGTCTCACCCGATTTGAGAAGTTTGACTTGTCGTGTGTCTCTTCGGAACAGGGCACCCCTCAAGGGGGTAACATCTGACATCTCGTGGGAAGTCGATGTTGCAGAGATTAAAAATATTCCTGTAGTGATTGATGTACGTCGGATGAATCATGTGGTGAATGAAGAAAAAGTGTATCTGTTCTTTTGTTTTTTGATATGGAGTCTCTCCCTACTCAAGTGCAGTTGGGGTATATAAACTACAGAGTCAGAGCACTTATCCCAAGACCAATGCAGTGTGATCACTGTAAAGCTTTTGGACATGTTTCAAGTGTTTGCAGAAGAGAGAAGCCGAGATGTCCAAGTTGTGGAAAATATCATATCATGTGTTTTAAAAGTGATGAAAATGTGACATGTTGCAATTGTGGTGGGAACCATGAAGCCACGTCTTTTGAATGCCCGACAAGGGTGAAAGAGAATGAGGTGGCCAAAGTCAGGGCTGTCCAGAGCATTTCATATGCAGCGGCTGTTAAAAGGGTTCAGGGTTGAATGGTGCTCCTAAAGAGTCTATGATGGTGGATAGGCCTTCACTGAAAGCTGCAGGGGTTACCTTACACCAGCAGGACCCAGATATTTTAAAGGTTAAGAAGGTGGACTTTGTGGCCTTTATAGCTATGGTGATTAATGGTACTGCCAAGGTGGAGAGGAAGTCCAGGAAAATAGATATAATTGTGGATGCGGCGGAGCGGTTCATGGGACTGAAAAGCTTCTCAGCGGAGGAGTTGCATGGAGTATTGTCACAATCCGTGCCAGCCTCTCAGGCCCCAGAGCCTGAGAAGGGAGATGTGAAGGAAGGAAGAAGTGGGAGTTTTGTGTTTGATTTTTGTTTTGTCAATGTACTGTTTTTATTTGGGTGGATTAAGTTAGTTTTCCCTATCAAGTATGTATGTTTTTTCAATCCTGTCCAGTTGGTGGCGGCAATACACCTTTTGGGGTTGTAGTCCGCCATAAAACCCACAGAAGAAGAATGGTAGACTGCGACAGAGCAGGTAAACATTGAACTGTCTCGGTTGGTGCTGCTGCTCTGAAAGTGGTGTAGCAGGACCACACCAGATTGAAAAGTACTGGAGCAAATGTGGTCTCGCCACAAGCTTTCCGGCAGCTCTGGTGTTTAGTATTTAGTATTTTATTAGGATCCCCAATTAGCTGCTGCCAAGGCAGCGGTTACTCTTCCTGAGGTCCAAACAGGAAACAGCACAACAAATAAAATACATAACATACATAGCACTACATGTACATTTCTACTGGCAGAGGGGTCACGACCTGGCTATCATAAGGTTGTCTCGCCTGGCTATCGTAAGATGAATGCATTAGCTGTGGGACGCTCTGGATGGGAGCGTCTGCTAAATGACTCAATTGTAAGCTTCAGTCACCAGATGAGTTGTTCAACATGCAGCTCTTTAAGGATAAAGACACAATACACAACAATTAAACTCTGCATATGTTCATTCTGCATAAGAACCACTTTCTGCATGTATGCTGATGTACAATACTATATCTCACCCTTCATTCTAGGCCCAGCAGATGAGGTATTAGGTGAACACCTTGACAAGAAAGGCCCAGCAGAGGAGGTATTAGGTGAACACCTTGACAAGAAAGGCCCAGCAGAGGAGGTATTAGGTGAACACCTTGATAAGAAAGGCCCATCAGAGGAGGCATTAGGTGAACACCTTGACAAGAAAGGCCCAGCAGAGGAGGTATTAGGTGAACACCTTGATAAGAAAGGCCCAGCAGAGGAGGTATTAGGTGAACACCTTGACAAGGAGGAGGAAGCAGAGATGGTAAGACACACTTCCATCGTTTACATCCTCAGTGGTCATGCTGATCATGTTCCTGTAATGTGTTATGTTTTTTCAGTTTTCTTTACATCACTCCGGCTTTAGAAATCACTCCTCCATTAACTGGTTGCTAAAATTCTAAACTGGCTCATTTCAATTTATGTGACAAAGCAAGCAATATATAGTGTAGAGAATCATTGTAACGTCTAAACTGCAGTGAAATATCTTTGGAATAACCAAAAATATTGTATTTTCAACTGTTTGAAGCTGGTGTACAAAACAAAAGGAAAATTATGCAAAAAAGGAAACTTAAGGATGGGAAGCATAGACATGGGCAGAGACTTGAGTCTTGAGTCACGTGACTTGGACTTGAGTACTACTCGAGTTGCACATTTTGTGACATGCCATTTGACTTCGACTTGAGCATCTATGACTCATGATTTAACATGGACTTGAGCTGTATGACTCGAGATTCTATTTGTCATCTCGCTCACAATATTGGAGTGCTGCAGATTCTGTGCGTTGTGATGATGCCCTGATGCAGAGGTGGCACCACAGGTCCCAGAGTGGTGGGGCAAATTGTTTTCCCTGGGACCCAGATCTTTTCCTAATCTGGTAACCTAACCAGGTATAAATCCGGACCCTATAGGGTCTGACAGTGATTCATTAGTTGTAAAAAAATATATATATGGGCAATGATGGGAGTAGGACCCGATTTACATTTTAGTCATTTAGCAGACGCTCTTATCCAGAGCGACCGACAGGAGCAAACAGGGTTAAGTGCCTTGCTTAAGGGCACATCGGCAGATTTTTCACCTAGTTCGAACCAGTGGCCTTGAGCACTCGAAACCCAAAATTAGGAACTTGTGACTTGACTCGACCTGAGCTTAAACACTTTGAAGTTTGACGTTTGGAATTTTTTTTACATTTGTTGTTCGAGAAACATGGATGAACGTCTAATTCTGAGGTGAGACTGTGAGAACTTGTTGATCTTTCCACCTGTTAAGAAGGTGAAATATCTAGATAAAAACAAAAAGCTTCCAGCAGAGCATCAGTTCCGAGTTCCGACACCTGTCAGATTGTAGTGTGATGTCTGAAGCTTCGAACGTCATCATCAGCATCAGTACATTATATCAAGTAGTAGGCATCATGCAAGACTACAAATCCCTGCATGCTCCATCACGTCATCTCTAGCTGTCAGCTAGCTAGATGGCTACAAGCTACAAAAGCAAAAATGTGTTTACATCCCTGTTAGTGAGATTTCTCCTTTGCCAAGATAATCCATCCACCTGACAGGTGTGGCATGTCAAGAAGCTGATTAAACAGCATGATCATTACACAGGTGCACCTTGTGCTGGGGACAATAAAAGGCCGCTCTAAAATGTGCAGTTTTGTCACACAACACAATGCCACCTAGAGGGATGGTTGGCCATGGAATAAACAAAATGAGGTGCTGGTGTGTTTCCCCTTTTAGGTCTTTGTCACAAATATCTAGCCCTTGTCCAGTCATACTCAGGGTCTCATCGTGTGTCCCTCGCAGGCATTCTGTCTTAGTTGCAGCAGTCAAATCGTGCTCATCGTGTGTCTGTGAATCACAACATTAAAGACGATGAGTGATCACAGCATTTCCACAAATTGAGCCATACACAATACAACTTAAGCATTGGGGCCAGAATTTTTGTTGACAACATGATGGTTTACACTATGCCTAGTGTGTGTATATGATGGACGAATCTTACCCCAGCTGTAGGTCCATTTGAGTGTGTGGTCACTTAGGCCTGAACATCAACCAGTACTGGGACCATTGGAGACATGGGATGCTCGCTCTCAAAGTGCTGCTTGAATGTCTTCGGGTCTGCGTCTATAAAGGTCAAGTATAAAATGGAGAAAGTTAATAATCTGTGGCAGAGATTGAATTCAAAGTTGACACAAATGATAAACCAAGCAATAACTGATAGATACACACACTACATGTTAATGTTTTTAAATGTATGTCAATTGTAAAGTATTTTGTCTGTAATGTCGTGTTCGTTATGTGTTGTACCCTAGTAAGACTAGCTGTTGCCATTGGCGTCTGCTAATGTGGACCCTAATAAATCAAATCAAAAGGCCAGTACACATGGAGAGGAACCTAAAGGCACATACAGTAACAACCAATACTACTCAACCGACAGACAGAGCAGGTGTGGACCAGTGCTGCCTTGACTGCAGTCTTCTGGTCCGCAGCTGCTCCCTTCATCTTGGCAGCTGCCGCCTTGGCATCAGTCAACAAGTTCAACTTCAACTTGAGTTGAAGGAGGGAAGGAGAGAGGGAGAGGAGAGGAGAGGAGAGGAGAGGAGAGGAGAGGAGAGGAGAGGAGAGGAGAGGAGAGGAGAGGAGAGGAGAGGAGAGGAGAGGAGAGGAGAGGAGAGGAGAGGAGAGGAGAGGAGAGGAGAGCCCATAGTCCAGAATAATGACTTTAAAGGGTGGACAGCTCCAGATCTGAATGGCAGGAGTGTGTATAAGCTTTTGTTCCAGCCCAGCTCATACCTGATTACAAATCATAACTGTGATTTGTTATGTTCATTATTTAAATCAGGTGTTAGAGCTGAGCTGGGAAGATGAAAACAACTTGACACACTCCTGCTCTTCAGGACTTCCTGCAATGACTGAAACAGACCAAAAGAGGAGAATAGTGTTCCAGGTTGAAACACTTTACCTAGTTGAGAGGTGATGAGACTCAGGCCCACCCATTGGTTTGCAATTTGGCATCAATAACATGACAGTAATTCTACCTCAAAACCTGTGAATACCAATTAATTTATAACCCACCATAGCAGGTAGGACTAAATAAGGTTACATAACTAATGATCTGCTATCCAGGGGGTATCAGCAAACAGATCAACGTCTTCCCGCAGTAAAGTAAGCACACTTGACTCAAGAGAGGATGCTAATCAGTCCATCTAGGAAACCTTTCAAAAAGCCAGACCAGAATAATACAGCTAGCTAGCCCTTTCCAGCCGGAGCATTCTAATTTCGAAATAATAGGTACAATGGTTTAAAGTTACACTATGCAGAAATTGCTCCGCCATTTCCTGGTTGCTAAAATTCTAATAGTTCACCTAATTTCACTTTATGTGACAAAATAAGCTAGTATAGAGTAGTGAATCATTGTAAATAATATAATATAATAATATGCCATTTAGCAGATGCTTTTATCCAAAGCAACTTACAGTCATGCGTGCATAATTTTTTTTGTGTATTGTACCATCTAAACCACTGTGAAATATATTTTCCATAACCAAAAATATTGTATTTTCTGCTTTTTGAAGCTGGTTTACAAAACCGAAAATAAGACACAAAAACGAAATGTAACAACAGGAAGCATAGAAATGCCACACATAGAACAGGTCTACCACTTCTTAGACAGGCTTTCAATGAGAATTACAGATCTATAATTAACATTTCTATGTGAATTTGGTCAGGTCGCTCAAAAAGTTACATACTGACACTTTAAAGCATTAATAACACTGACGCCCAATCACCAATTTTATTTCAGAAAATTGCCATTTACACATGACAACATGAGCTACACACAGATATAATTGGTTTAAGGCTTTATGAGCGGGAACTTTTTTTTTTTACTTCAATGAAAAGTCACGGAGCAAATCCTCCATTTACCTCACTGACCACGTTTACATGCACACCAATATCCCGTTATTATTCGGGATACTCAAGTATTCTGTTTTTGAGTTGACGCATATACAGTGGGGAAAAAAAGTATTTAGTCAGCCACCAATTGTGCAAGTTCTCCCACTTAAAAAGATGAGAGAGGCCTGTAATTTTCATCATAGGTACACATCAACTATGACAGACAAATTGAGAAAAAGAAATCCAGAAAATCACATTGTAGGATTTTTTATGAATTTATTAGCAAATTATGGTGGAAAATAAGTATTTGGTTCCTACAAACAAGCAAGATTTCTGGCTCTCACAGACCTGTAACTTCTTCTTTAAGAGGCTCCTCTGTCCTCCACTCGTTACCTGTATTAATGGCACCGGTTTGAACTTGTTATCAGTATAAAAGACACCTGTCAACAGTCACACTCCAAACTCCACTATGGCCAAGACCAAAGAGCTGTCAAAGGACACCAGAAACAAAATTGTAGACCTGCACCAGGCTGGGAAGACTGAATCTGCAATAGGTAAGCAGCTTGGTTTGAAGAAATCAACTGTGGGAGCAATTATTAGGAAATGGAAGACATACAAGACCACTGATAATCTCCCTCGATCTGGGGCTCCACGCAAGATCTCACCCCGTGGGGTCAAAATGATCACAAGAACGGTGAGCAAAAATCCCAGAACCACACGGGGGGACCTAGTGAATGACCTGCAGAGAGCTGGGACCAAAGTAACAAAGCATACCATCAGTAACACACTACGCCGCCAGGGACTCAAATCCTGCAGTGCCAGACGTGTCCCCCTACTTAAGCCAGTACATGTCCAGGCCCGTCTGAAGTTTGCTAGAGTGCATTTGGATGATCCAGAAGAGAATGTCATATGGTCAGATGAAACCAAAATATAACTTTTTGGTAAAAACTCAACTCCTCGTGTTTGGAGGACAAAGAATGCTGAGTTGCATCCAAAGAACACCATACCTACTGTGAAGCATGGGGGTGGAAACATCATGCTTTGGGGCTGTTTTTCTGCAAAGGGACCAGGACGACTGATCCGTGTAAATGAAAGAATGAATGGGGCCATGTATCGTGAGATTTTGAGTGAAAACCTCCTTCCATCAGCAAGGGCATTGAAGATTAAACGTGGCTGGGTCTTTCAGCATGACAATGATCCCAAACACACCGCCCAGGCAACGAAGGAGTGGCTTCGTAAGAAGCATTTCAAGGTCCTAGAGTGGCCTAGCCAGTCTCCAGATCTCAACCCCATAGAAAATCTTTGGAGGGAGTTGAAAGTCCGTGTTGCCCAGCGACAGCCCCAAAACATCACTGCTCTAGAGGAGATCTGCATGGAGGAATGGGCCAAAATACCAGCAACAGTGTGTGAAAACCTTACAGAAAACGTTTGACCTGTGTCATTGTCAACAAAGGGTATATAACAAAGTATTGAGAAACTTTTGTTATTGACCAAATACTTATTTTCCACCATAATTTGCAAATAAATTCATAAAAAATCCTACAATGTGATTTTCTGGATTTTTTTCCCTCATTTTGTCTGTCATAGTTGACGTGTACCTATGATGAAAATTACAGGCCTCTCTCATATTTTTAAGTGGGAGAACTTGCACAATTGGTGGCTGACTAAATACTTTTTTCCCCCACTGTAACACATCATATCCTGTTTACAATAACCCGAAAAAAGCTTGTATTCCGATTACGAGAAATGCCTGGGATATGCTGATCTTAGGGATACCATGGCATGTAAACATCTTATCCAGTTTATTGTTGTTTTTCGCGGTCTGCGTAGGCTCAGTTCAGCATATCATGAGTGTTGTTTGAGGATGTTTTCATCTGATTGTCAAACAAATCACTGCGCAGTTCAATTCACCGTAATTCCATAATAATATACAGTGGGGAAAAAAAGTATTTAGTCAGCCACCAATTGTGCAAGTTCTCCCACTTAAACAGATGAGAGAGGCCTGTAATTTTCATCATAGGTACACGTCAACTATGACAGACAAATTGCTATGAGAAATTGAGCTCAGTTGCATCCTGTTTCCATTGATCATCCTTCAGATGTTTCTACAACTTGATTGGATTCCACCTGTGGTAAATTCAATTGATTGGACAAGATTTGGAAAGGCACACACTTGTCTATATAAGGTCCCACAGTTGACAGTGCATGTCCGTAGAGCTCCGAGACAGGATTGTGTGTCGAGACACAGATCTGGGGAACTGTACCAAAACATTTCTGCAGCATTGAAGGTCCTCAAGAACACATTGGCCTCCATCATTCTTAAATGGAAGAAGTTTGGAACCACCAAGACTCTTCCTAGAGCTGGACGCCCGGCCAAATTTAGCAATCGCGGGAGAAGGGCCTTGGTCAGGGAGGTGACCAAGAACCCGATGGTCACTCTGACAGAGCTCCAGAGTTCCTCTGTGGAGATGGGAGAACCTTCCAGAAGGACGACCATCTCTGCAACACTCCACCAATCAGGCCTTTATGGTAGGTTTTCTGACATGGTTTTCCTGCCTGGCAGATATCTATTTATACTGTTGTACCGTTAGATACTAAAGTAGTTAGCTAGCTAGATTACAAAATTACAAAATTGTAATTTAGCTAGATAGGATGCCATTATTTGTGTTTGGTCCACCATTACTTTCCCTCATCATCTGATGGCACACAACCATGTGATGGATGAGCCTATCTTGAAACAAGCAATGTGTGAAAGTGTTTGCTGTAAATCAGATAATGTCATTCTGGTTACCCTATAGCCCTTTAGTGACTCAAAATGTTTTTTTTATAGTATGTGTTATGGATTCATGAAATAATAAATTCTCTCTCTGTCTCTCTCGGTCTCTCTCTGTCTCTTTCTCTCTCTCCTTCTCTGTGTGGTGGACTGTCGGCTCTCAGACCATCGTGAGGAGGACACTAGAAGCTGTTCCCACGATGACAAGGACAGGCAGGAACTGGAGCGAGTGACTGGACAACATGCTGCTGAGGCTGCAGACAGGGCTGAGGGACAATCACACCCTCACAGGACACACCCATACAGGACACACCCACACAGGACACACCCTCACAGGACACACCCACTCAGGACACACCCTCACAGGACACACCCTCACAGGACACACCCTCATAGGACACACCCTCACAGGACACACCCTCATAGGACACACCCTCACAGGACACACCCTCACAGGACAGTTTTACTAGCAGTGAAACAGAATGTGATCTTGCAAGATCAGGCTGGTTTAGGGAGGTTATAGAAATACAGTATGCTTGATGCCAACTGATGGCTGTCCCCCCTCCCCCAGGTTGAAAACACAGTATACTTGATGCTTATTTCCTGTCCCCCTCCCCCCAGGTTTAAGACACAGTATGCTTGATGCCAACTGATGCCAGTCCCCATCTCAACAGGTTTAAGACACTCCCCTGCGCCGCATCCCGGCCTCCCAACACCCCTCCCCTTCTTTCCCCCTCCTCACCTCCTTCTGGTCCCCTCTCTTACTCCCCCCACTGGCCCTGCCCCCTATTCCTGCCAGCCAACCAGCCAACCAGCCACCGGCTGCACACCCTCTTCCAGTTCCACCGCAGCTACTCCGAGATAGCCTATTCCTCTGCCCACCAGAGCCCCCCCCGCCACTGCTCCTCCATGACCCTCTCATGCATGTTCCCTCACCCTTGTACGTTTTCCTTTCCTTATCCCATAGATCCTGCATGCCAGCCTGCCTCATTCATGACTCTCATGGCCTTGGAGATGTAAAGGACTTGTAAAGGCCCGTTCTGACTCTTCACGTGATAGGCTATAGGCCAAGTGTAATGGATGTACAAAAGAAATTGAAGTTGTAAAAACCAATTATTATTATATGCCTTATTCTTATTATATGATGTGATTCCAGATCAGTTTTGTATATAATGTTATGGCTAGGATAGCGATAGCTTGCACTTTATTTTACAGGTTTGAATGAGAAAATGTATTTCTCTAATCTCATTCTTTCAATAAAGTTATTGTTTTATTAATATAATATTACTTGTTTGTCTTTCCTTATCATATTTAAGACAATGCTATTTGTAATTTGTTTTGGTGCAGATTTGTTTTTAACATACTATCCAGATAAGAAAGTGGTTATAAGCTGACATGGTCATACCAAAGATGGTCATACTATGGATCATTTAGCTATTTGATTTTGAATTTTAGGACCCCTTTAGGTATCAAATAAAATACAATAATGATTTGATAAAATATTGAATTCGGCCTTTACTAGTAAAGCCCAGAGAAATGCACTGAATAACACATTCATACATTGTAAAAAAGACAGTCATAAAATACATTCTAAGAAACAAGGTTTTATATATCTATATATTTTTTTACACATTTAACCCCTTTTTTGTGGTAGGCACAAAACTACCTTCATACTTCCATAAAAATGTTTTAACCGGTACAGGTTACCTTCAGACGAGTTCAGCGAAACTTGTGTGGGTCGTAGAGCAAAGAAGAACACCATCGTGTTCAGGAGAATCTCCCCTTTCACAGTGGGCTCACATTAGTTTTTAGGTCGCACCGTTCGGGATGTCTCATGGTCTGACAAACACCGTTCTAGCTCTGCCACCCTTCACTGCAAATGTGGAAGTGCGACACTGATGGATGCAGTGGATTGAGATGCATCCAATGCAAAAAAACAGATATCTCTAGCTTAAACTGACAGATATTGCAGTGTATTTTTTTGTTATGTCATTTAGATTGACTCTAGCAATTGACTATAGCAAACTAGACTGTTGGTTTTTAAAGCCAAAGAAAGCTAAACTATTTTTTAATGAATGTTTTATCCATTTAAATGGCTAGACAAATAGATGGCTAATGTAGCCAGGCTAATGCTGCTAACTAGCTAACAGGTATTGTGTAAATGTAAAACTTGCCCAAGACAATTCAAATAATTATAAATTTGAACAAATGTAGCCAATTAATTAATTACTACATTTAGCTAACATTAGATAGTTCATCCAGAGATTCTTACCTTTGCCGCGATTTGTCAGTATTGTCCAGATCATCATGGCACTGGTGAGTGTCATGCAGCTTGAGAAAGACATTTGTAGTTCTCTATGATAGCCACATTATCAGCTAAATACAGGCAAATAGATTGATAAAAGTCACCTTGTCCAAGATAGATTTACACGGTTATCAAAATGTCACGCCAGAGTAAGCCTACACGAAACACAGCCCTTATTTGAAGTGTTTCTAAAATCTCCTTTGGGAAAAATGAAAGGTGAAAAAACTATTGGAACCATTTCTGTGTTTTACCACTAGGTTTTATGGGTATTATGACTCATACTGTGGTACTTTATTTAGACCTAATTCCTGTTGTAGTGTGGAAATGCTTGTTTCATTCCACACTCAGAACACAAATGTATGTATCCTTATACAGTGGGGGAAAAAAGTATTTAGTCAGCCACCAATTGTGCAAGTTCTCCCACTTAAAAAGATGAGAGAGGCCTGTAATTTTCATCATAGGTACACGTCAACTATGACAGACAAAATGAGAAAAGATTTTCCAGAAAATCACATTGTAGGATTTTTAATGAATTTATTAGCAAATTATGGTGGAAAATAAGTATTTGGTCAATAACAAAAGTTTCTCAATACTTTGTTATATACCCTTTGTTGGCAATGACACAGGTCAAACGTTTTCTGTAAGTCTTCACAAGGTTTTCACACACTGTTGTTGGTATTTTGGCCCATTCTTCCATGCAGATCTTCTCTAGAGCAGTGATGTTTTGGGGCTGTCGCTGGGCAACACGGACTTTCAACTCCCTCCAAAGATTTTCTATGGGGTTGAGATCTGGAGACTGGCTAGGCCACTCCAGGACCTTGAAATTCTTACGAAGCCACTCCTTCGTTGCCCGGGCGGTGTGTTTGGGATCATTGTCATGCTGAAAGACCCAGCCACGTTTCATCTTCAATGCCCTTGCTGATGGAAGGAGGTTTTCACTCAAAATCTCACGATACATGGTCCCATTCATTCTTTCCTTTACACGGATCAGTCGTCCTGGTCCCTTTGCAGAAAAACAGCCCCAAAGCATGATGTTTCCACCCCCATGCTTCACAGTAGGTATGGTGTTCTTTGGATGCAACTCAGCATTCTTTGTCCTCCAAACACGACGAGTTGAGTTTTTACCAAAAAGTTATATTTTGGTTTCATCTGACCAATGACATTCTCCCAATCCTCTTCTGGATCATCCAAATGCACTCTAGCAAACTTCAGACGGGCCTGGACATGTACTGGCTTAAGCAGGGGGACACGTCTGGCACTGCAGGATTTGAGTCCCTGGCGGCGTAGTGTGTTACTGATGGTATGCTTTGTTACTTTGGTCCCAGCTCTCTGCAGGTCATTCACTAGGTCCCCCCGTGTGGTTCTGGGATTTTTGCTCACCATTCTTGTGATCATTTTGATCCCACGGGGTGAAATCTTGCGTGGAGCCCCAGATCGAGGGAGATTATCAGTGGTCTTGTATGTCTTCCATTTCCTAATAATTGCTCCCACAGTTGATTTCTTCAAACCAAGCTGCTTACCTATTGCAGATTCAGTCTTCCCAGCCTGGTGCAGGTCTACAATTTTGTTTCTGGAGTTTGGAGTGTGACTGTTTGAGGTTGTGGACAGGTGTCTTTTATACTGATAACAAGTTCAAACAGGTGCCATTAATACAGGTAACGAGTGGAGGACAGAGGAGCCTCTTAAAGAAGAAGTTACAGGTCTGTGAGAGCCAGAAATCTTGCTTGTTTGTAGGTGACCAAATACTTATTTTCCACCATAATTTGCAAATAAATTCATTAAAAATCCTACAATGTGATTTTCTGGATTTTTTTTCTAAATTTGTCTGTCATAGTTGACGTGTACCTACGATGAAAATTACAGGCCTCTCTCATCTTTTTAAGTGGGAGAACATGCACAATTGGTGACTGACTAAATACTTTTTTTCCCCACTGTAAATATTGATTAATCGGGCGTGCACATCTCCACCTTCCTCCTTGTGCTAATTGCTACAGAGCACAGCACAGTTAACGGTAGCTACAATGAGGCGAAGACTATCCACTCTCCTCCTCCCTCTTCTGCAAAGGAATTGAATAATAATGGATGAATACAGAGTTTAGCGGTAATACTGGAGTTTTACCAGTGAAGCTAGGGGCTAGCTAACCTACTCCCTAGACCAATAAAGCTAGCTAGCTAGCTACCAGTAACTATTAGCAACTGTGGATAATTGGTTCTAAAGTTGTTTCAAGCATGTGTGTCTCATGGTGGGGGTCTTTTAGGTCCCAGATTCTCATTACTAGTCAACTTTCAGTGGACACCAAATGACCGTAACAAAATGGGGGCTCGTCCGGAATTTTGTTTCCAATGAGCTCTAATCACCTACTCTGAATCTCTACTGTGCCCAGATATTTGAGTGTTTAAAATACACTTTTGTGGTAGAGTTTCTGTCACTGACAATCACTCAGAGGGGCTATAAGATTGGTGAAATCTTTTTGAAAGTTGCATAAACACACAGGATAATAAATAAAAAATATGGACATGAAGTTGGAAGCGTTTGTGGAAAATCCTACTTGGGAGATGCTTGATAAATGTATGAAGGTGAAACTGCTCATCACTGTAAGGCATTATGTCATCAAAGTGGCACATACCGATCCAAAAGCATTAGTCAGAGTTAATTGGTACTGCTTTGGTGGAGGAGGAAATCCTCCCAGAGAGGGAGGATAATGGAAAGGGTCCTACATGTGGTAGAGTCCCCGTAGACTTGCAACTGAGGGTGTTAGAACTAAAGGCAAAGTTGGAGCAACAGAAATAAGAGTTTGAGCACAATGAAAAACAAGAAGAACGTGAGCAGCCATTCGATTAAGAGAATTGAATCTGGAAGCACTCCGAATCCAGTCAGGCACCCTCAGCAGAGTTTGATCTTGGTCAGAACAGCCGACTTGTACCACCTTTAAATGAAAAGGAGATGGACGTATATTTATATATTATTCTGTTTGAGCGGATTGCCACATCCCTAAAATGGCCGCATGATTTCTGGTCACTGCTCCTATAATGTTTTCTTGTGGGAAATCTCATAAACTGTATGCCGCTTCATCTCTTGATCAGAGTAGTTCAGATTATGATATAAATGAAGCTGCTATCCTTTGGGTTTATGAGTTGCTCCCAGAGGCATACAGACAGCAGTTATGTAAATGACGGAAGACAGAATCACAACGCCATGTTGAATTTGTAAGGGAACAAGCGTGTCTTTTTGATCGGTGGTGTAGTTCTCAAGAGGTCAAAGACCTTGAGGATGTAAAGGCACTCTTACTAATCGAGCAGTTCAAGAATTTCCTTCACGAAA